ATTTTCTCAATGTCCGCACTTACTACGTATGTATGCAATCGAAATCTTAATAAAATACACAGTAAGTCATCCTGCAGGGTTGGACCGGCCATTTGGTCATTAAGAGAATCCTCGGGCGTAGCGGCTGAGCAATCAAAAACAACTCAGAGACGCGTAGTTAATAAGTTTTCCTTTAGAACGCTATGATGAGGCATGAAATAAAATTGCTTGTGAGGCGCATTAAGAGGATCAAAGTCCTGTATATTTTTCATGCATCCAAGATTAATGTATTCATGTATGAGTTCCGTGTAAAGTTGCTTTACTTTAGGAGTTGAAATAAGTTTTTTTCTCTAAATAAAAAAATCGCTTTCGTGCATTATGATAGGAATCACCTAGTTTTTCGGGGGGTTCATTAAAAGGAAGGGCTACTATAAATCTACCCGCGGAGTCTCTTCGAGTAATATTATGAAAATGCTGTTCGCAGGCAATCTTTTCTTTTGATAAAATTTGCCCTTCGGCAATTTCCTCTAATTCCCAAAATCGCGCTAACTGATTTTGAATTTGAGTTTTGGCAGATGACGTTAAAAAATTGCACTTTACTTCGTTACACGCTGGAAATGGTACAAAGTACGGCCCTGCTATAACCCAACCGAATAATGTTTGGTGCATTATTGGTTTGTTTTTACCTAGACTAAAGGTGTTTTGACCCACAAGGCTCCAAAACAGGTCACTTCCGATAAGGATGTCGATTTTTTGGGGTTTAGCAAACTTGTGGTCTGCGTATTTAAGGGTGCAGACGGTAGATGACCCGAAATCTGGGGAACAATGAAGCACTGTAGTGCACAAAAATCGCACTGTTCCTCTAATTTGCGTGAAATATTTGTTATGCCGGACACTGTCCAATCAACCTGCTCAGTTGCAATACCAATTTATTATGCAATTCGACAGATAAAAATGAACTCTTTGAGCCGGAATCCAGAAGTGCTCTGGCTGTATGAATTTTATTGTATCTATCATAAACATTTATTAGATCGGTTGGTGAGTTTACTTGGCCTTGTACCGTGATGTTAGAGAATGAACAATTTGTTAACGAAGTTGATGGCTCGATTGGGGTTAAAACGACAGGATTAGAGTTACTTTCACGTGAGCGATCATTGCCTTGAACGCGATTGATATGTAATAATGTGTGATGCCGCCCGTTACATGTCTTACAAGACGACAATTTCTGCTGTCGTGGCCAAGTTTCAAACAATAAACGCATAAATGCGCATTTTTTGTCTTTTCGCATCTTTCACTCGGATATGAATTCATAAACCCCGTGCAGTTATATATTATATGGGAATTTTTGCATATGGAACAAACCAAGCCTTGAGGCGCCTTGTTAGAATTCTTGTTTTAATTTACAGGGTGTTTATTTGAATTTAAATGTGAATTTGATGTATGGTGAGATGAATAATGACTGCGTGTGTGATTAAATGCCCCTCTCAAATTATTATTGTATGAACTATGGTAATGAGACCTTTTGTCTGCTTGATTATTTTCTAAAGTTTCTAATAAATCTGCACGGGACTTTAAAAATGTTTTAATTTGATTATTTTCTAAAGTTTCTAATAAATCTGCACGGGACTTTAAAAATGTTTTAAGATCATAAAATGTAGGTACCTCTTTATTAGCGTTTGACTTGGCGTTTTCACATTCGCGTAAAGTGGATGAATCTAGTTTGGTTGTTATAATGTGAATAAATAATACGTCCCAGTGATCAATTTGTTGGCCCATTTGTTTTAAGGAATGTAGATGTTAAGAGTAAGTGTCGATTAAATTGCGTAATTTGTATAATGATTCTTTATGCATTGGTTCTATGTTAAAAAGTGATTTTACATGATTTAGTACTAAAAGGCCTTTGTTGTCATACCTTTCGCGAATAAGATCCCAAGCTACAATGTAGTTGCTGCTTGTGAATTAATTGAACGGACAACTTGTGCGGCACCAGCTTCCAAGGATGATCTTAATTAATTAATTTTTTTAATGTTATCCAAGGCCTCATTTTTATGCACTAACGATTCAAATAAATCCGCAAATTCTAACCAATTTTGGTAAGAACCGTTAAATTTGGGAATTTTAATGGGTTTTAATTTTATGCCCGCAAATTTGAAAGTATTGTTTTCATAGGGTTGCTCATAACTAAATTAGTTCCGGACTCATTGTCTAAAGATACGGTAGATTCTTTTAAAATATGTTTTGCTGTTGCTATTTGCATATGAAAATTAGATTCGAATGTATCGCGCTCTTCATATTCGATTTGCAATAAACTTTCGTCGGTTGTTTTGTCTTCAATTAAACCCTGTATGTTTTTAAACTCGATGCTTGGTTTGTGCACTCGCGTAGGTCACTATTTTTAAACGCTTGTCCTTGTTACACGCACAAAACTTTTCAATGATTGATGAATTGAATTTTAATTGTTTATGCGAATAATCACTTGTTTTTTATTTTCACTTAAATTTGACACTATCCGGTTTTGAAGGACCATAATGTTCGTTGCGTTGATTATGTTGTTGCGCGATTAAAACATGATTTAACAAAAAACAAAACTATTTTAAAATGGTTGTGTATATGACTAAGCTTAAATTCTTAATGTTAAAAAATGCTAAATCTAGGTAGAAAAATACACCAAAAAGGGAAGGGCGTTGCATCCACTTGACGGCTGATATCTTCCAGATGTCATAAACAGAATTGACTCTCACTTTTCTTGGTACATTTGCTTTAACTTGTAAATATTATGCACTTGTTAAACAGACAATTTATAATATATGGGTCAAGCGTAAACAATGATATAAGTTCTACCCCTGTTTGAGTTAAAAATAGCATCTCTAATGTTTGATTAAATGTTTTATACGCAAGACTAGGAAAAGAAAATGAGCTAACGCGATTTAAATTATCCATTATTACCACACTACCATTAGGTTTTAGGTATATATGCAAAAATCATTTAATTTAATATAATCACTATTTTTTTTATGCCTTTTGATTGTAGTGACAATAGGTCATTACAACACAAATTGCTTAAGCAATTATATGTAGTTATTATAAACAAAAAGTAGGTTGCAACTCCGAAATACCGATCAATTAGCAGAATCATCAATAGTCAACAAGTGACGTATTGCTGACTTGCAACCATGTTTTATTTTAGTAATAGTTTAAATTAATAAGCATTGTTAAGACACCTTTGGTACAATGAATCAATATACCTGTTAGGAGAGATTGGTTTTTCACTTAAACCCTCCTAATGTACCAGATCCGTGAGTACCCACATTACATGGCGATCCTGCCACCGAGAAAAAAGTAGTTAGTGATATGTGCCAGTAAAATAAATAGTGTAAGAAGATCAAATAGTAGCAGTTGAATATACAGGGATGGAGAAAATAGTGCCAGTTAAAATAAATAATTAAAAGTAAGAAGTAATAATACCAAAATGGGGAAGTCAAACTCGAAACCAGATAAACCTTCTATAGAACAATCCGGAGTGATCGCAGGCGGAAAAAACTATATAAGCGAGACCTACATAGAATCCATTTCTGTTGGTGAAATATGCGGCATAATAGCAACAATTGGGGTCACAATAATATTGCTGGTTCGTCAACCGTCGCATAGAAAGAGAAATAGCCAGAAGCTGTGAACTCCTAAACATCGCGCAAGGAACCACCAGAAACCTTTAGAAGCGGTGCATCGGAAGTGAAAGTGAATTGCGGGATGTTACAAGAAGAACTAGAGCAACTACACAGTGATATCGTCAAATTCGGAGTTAATTTGAAAAAAGACAGCGAGGCGAGAAGACAAGATAAGGACATTGTAGATCGTAAGTTATTAAAATTAAGAAATTTTGTAGAGTTAGCTGAAAAATTTAGGGAATTTTATGAAAAAGAACAAAAAGATAAAAAATCAAAAGATGAACTAGTTATATTAGAGTTAATTAAGTCAATTTTTAAAAACATAGAGGAATGTTCGGTTATTGTAGAGGAAAGAAATAAAAATATTGTAAAGATTGTTCAAACAAAAAACGTAAATATGGCAAATTTTGATTTTAAAACCGCGGCTAGCTTGCTGCCATCCCTAGATGGTAATGCAGAAACAGTTAGAAAATTAATTAAGGGTATAAAATTGTACGCTTCCAGCGTAAATGACGAAGGTAAAAAACAAATTGTTAATTTTGTGCTAAATGCTTGTTTGTCTTCTCAGGATAGTATTAGAATGAAAGAAGAATATGGCTCTACTGAGTTATTAATTTTTATTTATTTATTTTATTTTATTATTTTTAAGTGTCGTGATCTGGGGATGCGACATATGCTTTCCTATGGATTTTGACGCGCTGAATCCTAATCCGATGTCAAAATTTGTCATCCAGGTCCGCGTTTCAACCTAACCTCAAAAAACGTGAAAAAATTAGTATTTTCTGTTCTGGGGATGAGGCATGTCGATTCTTATGTTTTTCGATGCATTGAATGTAAATAATCTCTCAGAATCGATCGCACACGTTGTTATTTTGACTCTAACCTCGAAAAAACGCAATGAAATGAAATATACTGAAATTGTGATATACTGCCTTGAAGGCTAGTTTTTTTTTAAAAGCCTATATCAGCGGAGTCTCATTCTTACAGTTGACGTAAACTAACTTTAACTCACCTAACCTAACCTTAAATCACCTAATTTAACCTAAACTGGCCTTATATAACCCTTATCTTCTATAGCAGATTTTACTATTCTGTAAAAAGGTAAATTTTAACACGATAAGCAATGTCTTTACAACGAAATGAATATGAAATTTACTGTTTTATTCTCTCTATTTTTGGATTTCTAGAAGAATGGGTGAACATAATGATATCGCTGACCATTTTAGCATTTTTCGCTTGTGCCTGTAACCAGGGCACCTCCACGTGGTGACGGTGGGCAACGGATCCATACCGGCTGAGTCCCTGGGCGTTCATGCCGTCATGGCAGGCACAGAAAGAAAGTGTTTTACGATGCAGGGATTCGGAACCCCAGTATCGGCGTCGGGTCAGGGTGGGAAAGCGGGCTCGCCGATGTCGTCATCATGCAACCGTCCCTCTTCATCAATGGGTAACTTGGTTTATGGAGAGTCTTATGCGACAAGAAAAAAAGACATTGGGCTTTCTAAACGCGCGCGACTGCCACAAAAATGCAAATTCCTTTTGTTATATTTGCAGCAGATATGAAGTGACGTCTTTGCGGAAGAAAATTGATGACGAAGTTAGCACGCTCTATGAAAAATGTTTCGGTCATAAAGTGTTACACCAAGAAACAAATTGGGTTCCTCACATCATCTGTAATTCCTGCAGACTGATGCTGTATCGTTCTCGAAATTCAGGTTTCCAAAAGTATTGCAGATTCTCCACACCAGCTATATGGAAACAAACGCTTCGTATGAACGACTGCTACTTTTGCATGAATGACGTCAAAGCCGGGACTACCAGTAAAACAAAGAGTAAAATCTCATACATCAATGTGTCCACAGTAATAAGACCAACTGAAATAAGTCCGAAGGCACGAAGGAGTAGATGATGTCATGGAAGTCGACGACCAACCTGAAGAAAATAGCAATGACACAGATGGCAATGACGAGAAAGAAGATGATTATGTTGCACATAACAACAACGTGTGTGATCTATTCTGAGAGCTTATTTACATTCATTACATCGAGAAACATAAGAATCGACATGCCTCATCCCCAGAACAGGAAATACTAACTTGTTCACGTTTTTTGAGGTTAAGTTGAAACGCTGACCTGGAGGAGAAATTCTGACATCGGATTCGGATTCAGGGCGTCAAAATCCATAGGAAAGCATATGTCGCATGCCCAGATCACGACATTTTTTTTTGTGTGGCTGTGTAAGTGATCTTAAGACGAATTTTCTTACTCGCCAAAGCCCGGATGTTTTTGCGGCGCAGTTTCATGCTGCGAAGCAAGGTAATGCTTCGTTAGAAGAATACGAAAAAAAATTGAGTTGAGTTCCTTTTTATTGGGATTGTTTTTGGTGTTGTTACTATTTTGGGTGTAGTTTTTGGGGGTAATCCATATAAATTTTGTTTATTATTTTTATCTACATCGGATAGGGTTTGATGGATGTTATATTAGTAAATAATCAAAGAAGCAACTTTGTTTTATAAATTTGAGTATAACACGTTGCACAAGCAAATTATGTTTCTGTGGCCAGGATCAGTTTTGAATTAGCAGTAGCAGTATTCATAAATGCTTAGTTTAGTACATTTTGTCATTTTTATACAAATATTGTTGTATCTTTTATTAATAATTAAGTAAAGCATAACACATAAATGACGTTTAATATACAAGGTGTTTCACGTACTTAGTCCGTTGGAAGTTTCTAGGAAATCGCGAAAGACATCGATTTAAAATTTTTAATAGCGTAAAGTATTCGCCTTAATTATTTTGAACAAAATAATACTTCCTGTTTTACCGGAATACCTCATATATTTTTACATTATTAAATTCTGAGTAAAATGGCTATACCATATCCTATACCTAAAGTCAATATTTTTTGAGGTATTAATTTTTCAATCAAATATTTTAATTAATTTTAAACAATGACATATTTAATGGTAACATACAGGGTTTTACATTTATAATAAAAATGTTATTATTGTTCGAAGTTTGCCTAATTTCAAGTGGTTTTTCAAAGGTATTTGTTGAAAAACCTTAAAAAACTAAACAATGTTTTAATATTCGAAAAATTCCAACCCCATGTCAACAAACATAATAACAAAAAAATTAGAGGCTATTTTTGATGCAACGTGCATTTTAACGAAAAAAATTAATATCTTGAAAACTATAGTCTAAATCAAATTGTATATGCTATTAAAATTTCAAATCCATACCCTGTATAGCATTATATTAAATATAAAAAAATGCAAAATAACTAATAACAAAAAATCGAAAAACAACTGAATAAAAAATATAAATATTTCTAAATAGCCGATTGCAACATAAAAAATCTTTATTCTTATTTATTTATTGGTTAAATATTACTTTCCTCAGTTAGGAATTAAAATTGAAGCTCGTTTATCGAGTAAAACATAAATTGAAGCTTGGTTGTGGAGCAAAAAATAAAATTAAAGTAGGTTATAATTTCTAACTTGCTGACACTGCCTATAATTATTATTTAGTTTATTCATTTTAATAAATTAGTATTTAAAGTTTATGGTACACTTATAAATTGAAACGCAATCAGTCATTTGCAACTTATAAACTAAACTGTTAAATTATCTTTTATGCTTCCAATGGTAGGTTACCATAGAGAAAAGTCTGTGATGCCTACTATGATCAAAATTAGTAAACTTAAAAAAGTTAAAATTTATAAATAAAACTAATTTTAGCTCCATCTATGCCGATTTTATTAAATAAATATGTAAGAATTGTATGTTATATATAAAATATTGTATGTAATATACCGTACCTTCATTTGCAAGCTAACCATAGGGAAAATACATTGTAACTGGACCAGATAAGTCGCAGTCAACACAAAGTCTGTGATGCCTACTATGATCAAAATTAGTAAACTTAAAAAAGTTAAAATTTATAAATAAAACTAATTTTAGCTCCATCTATGCCGATTTTATTAAATAAATATGTAAGAATTGTATGTTATATATAAAATATTGTATGTAATATACCGTACCTTCATTTGCAAGCTAACCATAGGGAAAATACATTGTAACTGGACCAGATAAGTCGCAGTCAACACAAAGCGAGAACCTTCTTAGAAATGATTTGGATGCGTCGTCGAGACATGCGTACTAAAACAAATTTTACCAAATTTACACCGCACAAAATACAAAACAATAATAAAGCATTGATGTATGACCCAAGGTCAACTGTTACGGCGCATGCTAGCTTACTCGTCCACGCGTCCAAATTATTTCTACAACGTTTTTCGCTTCGGGCTGACTAAGACTTATCTGGTCCAGTTATAATGTATTTTCCCTATGGTTAGCTTGCAAATGAAGGTACGGTATAATACATTATCTAGTTAAAAGAATTTATAATTTGTAAAACACGTTAGTATTACGCTCTTTGAAGGCCTAACTTAAAAATGGTTCTCGTAGAAACATAATTTGCATTTAGAAGTTTATATATCAAATAATTGTAAATTATCAGTACTTTAACGTGATATACTCAAAATTATAAAACAACGTTGCTTCTTTGACTTTTTAACCCTTAAAAAATGGTAAAATTTTAAATTAAATTGTCAACCGTGCCACCTGTATGTTAAAATCTATAAAAAAATAATACATGGATTTATTGCCACTAATAAGATCTACATTTTATCTTAATTTCAAATCGATACGTTTTTAAATAAAAATGTTATTACAAAATATCGAAATTTATCTATTTTTAACACAGTAGAGTGACTTAAGGCCTGAAAACCACAGCGGTCAATGGATGAATTTTTTTTTTAATGTACCATTAAGATGTACAAACAAGGTAACAAAAATATATTCAATTCTGGCATCACTTGCAAACAAATGTCCAAAATTTGTTCGATTTTTACGCGAAACCATAGTTAAGTTCTTATGACTCACATTTTCTGATAAAGGAATTATTAAAAAGCTTTAGCGGTGATTTATCAGTTTTGCCTGCTACCAAAGAAAAATACATTTCATTTACAAAATTTGTTGGTGGAACTAATATAAAATTAAGATTTGTAGATTCCTATCGGTTTATGTCGGAAAGTTTAGATACGCTAGCTTTACAGTTGGATAATGAACAAAAAAAAATTACAAGACTTCATTGCACCAACGAATTAGAATTTCAATTATTGTGCAGAAAAGGTGTTTTTCCTTACGAGTATTTGGATTCGTTGGGAAAAGTTAAACGAGAATGCCTTGCCAGAAAAACATTGTTTTTATAGTTCTCTCAACGACTCTGAAATATCTGATTTTGAATATAATAACGCGCATAATGTGTGGAATACTTTTAACTGTAAAAACCTCGGAACATACTCTGATTTATATTTAAAAACAGATGTTCTTCTATTGGCTGATATATATGAAAATTTTCGTAAAACTGGTCTACAAACTTATAAACTTGGTCCTGAAAACTTTGTTAGTGCTCCTTCTTTCTCATTTCAAGCAATGCTAAAAACAATCGAATAAGTTAGAGTTAATAACTGATACACTGTGCATGAAATTGACATTTTTTTTTGGAACAACCAGGGCACTTCTTGATTAAAGTCAATTCGGGTACGCTGAATTCAGTGGTGTTAGTCATTTTTTTTAGTTAGGTCATTTAATGAAGATATTTTAAATTGATTTTTTTTTATCAATGCGGGTTTTTGCTGAAATGTTTTGTGTATTAAATGAATATATTTCGTTAAAATTCGATGGATATTTAATGTTCTGGTAAAATACACTGAATAGAAACCATTTTACAAAAAAAATCGATTTAGTTAAAAAAATACAATTTTTTACCATTTTATAAAATTTGCATTTTATTTATACTTTATAGTTTTGTGATTCCAAATAAATTTCAACATAGTTTATTTTTTGCATTAAATATATGTAAAAAAACAAATAGACCAGAATAAAAACCCTTGCCTTCACCTCTATTCCATTGCCGTTGGGCACCTTAAAAAAACGTGGAATCCGAACCACAGTCCTCGATGAGTTAGACTCATCTACCGACTTTCAACGCGCACAACACCCAAGGCTGAGACCGGGAATCGAACCCGCTACCTTCGGACGCAGTTTGTCTCGGCATAGTCGCCTAACCCACTGCGCCACCCGTGGTATGGATTTATATTTACCAAAAAGAAACAAAATTCAGTTATTACTTTACACATTTTAATATATCAACCTTCATTCTATTACGATATGTTTTTACACGCATTCTTTTTATCGGTAGTTTTTATTGGTTTGCAATGTTAGTCGTTTAAAAGTGTCCAAAATGAATACATGTGGAGTATTAAAATTCGATAACTTTTGTTATGTTTGCGGAAAATACACTCTTAAGCCTAGTCGGCGTAAAATTACTTCAGACATCGTTTATATCGCCAATACTTCAATCAAGAGGTTTTTTGTGATGTGGAATGGGCTCCGTCTATAATTTGTACAGGATGTTTGAAAAAATTGAATCAATGGAATAAAGGTGAGATCAATTGTATGCCTTTCGGTATTCCTATGATTTGGACGGACCCACAGGTACACAATTCAGATGAATGTTATGCCTGCGTGAATTATATTTTCGGAACAAACAGAAATAAGAAAAGTTCTATGACATACAAAGCAACACAATTTGTTCAGTTGACATTGCCTCACTCGGAAAGCATACCCATTCCAAATAGACCAAGCCCTACTGAAGAATATATGCCGCCAACTTTTGTAACCGCTGGAGAATTAAGTGTAACCGAATATGTGCCATCAAACGTTACTCCAAATTGCAACCATATGGAAATTACACAAAACCGTCTTGACATTATGATACGCCGCCTCAAGTTATCGCAGCGACAATCGATTCTCTTAGCCAAAGAATTGAAACAAGTGAACAT